GACCGCGACGCTTCGCTGCGCTGCGGCCGGACCTGGACTTCGGCGTCCCCGCCGGGTTGGGTTCGGGCGCCCTCCCCCGCCCTCTGTGCGCAGCCCCGGCGCGCGGTCTGGACGCTTCGGCATCCTGGACTCCGTCGAAGCCCTGGGTGGTGGCCGGCGGCCCGAGCTGGTGAGAGGAGGCTCTGGACTGCGTGAGCCGGCGCGGCCTGTCTCACTCCGGCGATGGCAGCTTAGTCGCAGGGACTCCTTCGTGCTTTGAGTTTCTTTTTTATTCCGAGTCGCTGCGAGGTAGTCTAAGCGCACGTGGCCCTGGGCGGACCGTTTCGCCTCTCTCTTTGGGGAGTATGTTTTCGGCGGTCAAGTCGGAGTGAACCGAGAGCTAAAAGTAGCGTCAGAGCATACTGAGCCAGGTGTGGCGGCACAGGCCTGTCGTCCCAGCACTTTGGAGGCAAAGACCAGAGGGTGGCCTGAGTCCAGGGGCTCGAGACCAGCCCGGCAACGCGGCGGGACCTGTATCTGCGGCGAATCAAAACACGAGCCGAGCGTGGTGGCGCGCGTCGGCGGTGCCCGCTGCTCGAAGGATCGCCCGAGCCCAGCAAGCCGAGGCTGCGGTGGCGGGAGCGTGCCGCTGCCCTGCGGCCTGGGGACCGAGAGATCCCTACTCAAAAACTGGCAGTGCGTTGAAAGTGGTCATTTTCACTGACTCTCGGTTGCAGAACACAGAGCCCTTTCCCTGAGAATGCCAGAACAAGAACTAAAAACCTTTGCTTCATCTGTTAGCCGTGTGTGCTGCATTTAAGCACTTGCATAGCTAACGGTTGTGTTGTGTTTCCTATTACCTGATGGAACAAGAGGAGTCAAAATGATTTTAAGGAATAAACGTGTGTACTTTAAAATTCATCTCTTCAGGGAGCTTTTGTCTTGTGATACCAGGTGGAGCCAGGTACAGCTGTTCCGTGGGTTCTTGATTCTGCCACAGAGAGGGATTTTGGGGCGAGTCCAAGGTATAGTTCAAGACAGAATTTTGTTGGAAGAAAAGGCACACTCAAAGCTCGGGCGCCTTAAGAGAAAGGACACATGCTTGCCTCTGACAAGCTTTATATAACTTTACAGCAGTGATTAAGCAGACTCTTTTCTGAGCTAAGAGTGGCTGTAGGTGTCTGGTCACAAGTTTTGATTATTACCAACTCAACCTAAAGGTCACAAGGACCTTCTAAATAATGAGAATTACTTCGAACTAGATTTGGGTTTTCTTTTTTTAATTTTTAATTTTTTTTTTTTTTTTAGTTGGAGTCTCACTCTGTCACCCAGACTGGAGTGCAGTGGCCGCTCCTGGCCACTGCAGCCTCAACCTGCTTGGCTCCGGCAATCCTACCGCCTCAGCCTTCCAAGTAGCTGGAACTACAGGCGCACGCTACCACACCCAGCTAATTTTTTTATTTATTGTAGAGATGAGGTCTCGCCAAGTTGCCCAGGCGTGTCTCGAACCTGCGGGCTCAGACAATTCACTCACCTCTGCCTCCCAAGGCCCTGGATTACAGGCTGAGCCACCGAGCCCGGCTTAATTTTTAATTTTAAAGATGTGGGGTACAATTCAGGGTTCAGGATCTATGGGTTTTTCATAGATCATGACTGTGTTTCAGGTAATTCCCTATTTTTTCTGTGATTTACTGCATGGTAGTTCCACATTCCAACCCTCAAGGTGGTCAGGTCTGGTCGATGGGGTGAAGGTCATGTACTGATACGCAAAATATCTGAATGCTTACCCTGTTCTAAATCACTCCTGCCTAAGAAAATCTGGCTGACTACTTCTAAATTGTGTTAACTATGCCTGCCTCATTAGTAGCTGTCCATACAGTATTTTCTACTCTGTCTTTAAGTTAGTCCAGGTGATGCATCTGTTTTTAATTCACCACATTACAAGACTGGCTATTTACTTTTTTTTCTTAAACTGGTCTTCTGCTTTATGATACATGACAAATTCAAAATTTGCTTAGTTTTAACAAAAACTGTGATAGTTCAGAGTTTCTAAGAAAAGTGAATTTCTCTTTTTTTTTTTTTTTTTTTGAGTTGGAGTCTCACTCTGTTGCCCAAGCTGGAGTGCAGTGGCACGCTCCTGGTCTCCACAGCCTTGACATGCTGGGCTCCAGTGATCCTTCCGCCTCAGCCTTTGAAGTAGTGGGAACTACAGGCGTGCGCTACCATGCCCAGCTAATTTATTTTATTTATTGTAGAGATGAGGTCTCACCAAGTTGCCCGGGTGAGTCTCGAACCCCACGGGCTCAGGCAATCCACTAGTCTTGGCCTCCCAAAGTGCTGGGATTACAGGCTGAGCCACCAAACCTGGCCCAGAGAAAGTTTTTTTAAAGAGAAATTTGCAGGGCTCAGTGGGCTCCAGCGATCCTTCCGCCTCAGCCTTCCCAAGTAGCTGGAATTACAGGCGTGCGCTACCACACCCAGCTAATTTCTTGATTTATTGTAGAGATGAGGTCTTACCAGGTTGCCCAGGCAGGTCTCGAACCCGCGGGCTCAGGCAATCCACTCACTTTAGCCTCCCAAAGTGCGGGATTACAGGCTGAGCCACCGAGCCCAGCTATGATTACATTTCAGATATCTTCAGTGCAACATCAAAACCAGAAATTGGTACTGTGTGTGTGTGTGTGTGTGTGTATCTTTGTCATTTTATCACACGTGCAGATTTGTGTAACCACCACAAAGCAAGAACAAGAACTATTGCAGCACTACAAAGGTCTCCCTTGTCCTGCCCTTTCAAACAGAACCACCCTTCTACGCCTACCCTCCCTAGCAATCAATTTGATGCTAAATCTAAGATTTTTCAATTCTCAAATGCTATATGAATCAAATCATACAGTTTATGGCTTTTTGATTTGGGCTTTTTTTCACTCAGCATAATGCCCTTCAGAGCTCTCACAGTCGTGTATATTAAATAAATCTGTAACTTTCTATTGCTGAAGAATATTCCATGGTACAAAAGTACAGATTTTCTTATCACCTATTGAAGTAAATTTGGATTGCTTCCATTTCTGGGCTAATAGAAATAAAGCCACTATGAATATTTGTGTATAGGCTTTTTACATAGACCTAAGTTTTTATTCATCTAGGATAAATGACCAGGAATGATTGGATTATATGGTGAATGTACATTTGGTTTTTGTTTTTTTTTTTGAGTCGAAGTCTCACTCTGTCACCCAGACTAGAGTGCAGCGGCCGCTCCCGGCCGCAGCCTCGACCTGCTGGGCTCCAGAGATCCCTCCACCTCAGCCTTCCAAGTAGCCGGAACTACAGGCGTGCACTACCACGCCCAGCTGATTTTTTTTATTTATTGTAGAGGTGAGGTCTCGTCAAGTTGCCCAGGCGGGTCTCGAACCCGCGGGCTCAGGCAATCCACTCACCTCAGCCTCCCAAAGGCACGGGATTACAGGCTGAGCCACTGAGCCCGGCTTACATTTGGTTTTTAAGAAACTGAAGCTTTTGGGGGGAGTTTCTGGGTCTCGTTCTGTCACCCAGGTTGGAGTGCAGTGGCACAGTCATAGCTCAGTACAACCTCAAACTCCGTGGCCTCAGCGATCCTCCTGTCTCAGCCTCCCGAGTAGCTGAAACCACATACATGTACCACATGCCCAGCTAAAGCCAAAATGGCTGAAACATTTTGCATTCCTACCACCAATGTATGAAAGATACAGCTTATCTGCATCCCTATCAGCATTTGGTATTGTTCTCATGTTTTGTTTTAGCTATTCTCATAAGCATAGAGTGATATCACCTTGTGATCTTAATTTGCATATCTCTAATGGTGTTAAACATATTTTCACATGCTCATGTGCCCTCTGTGTATCTTTTGGTGAAATATATCTTCATCCATTAAGCCATTTAATTGGATTATTCTTTTTTTTATTATTGAGTTTTGAGAATACTTTATATATTTTAGATGCAAATTCTTTATCAGATATATGACTTGGAAACATTTTCTCCCAGTCTGTATCTCGTCTTTTCGGCCCCTTAAAAGTATCTTTCTCAGAGCAAAAGTTTTTAATTTTGATGAAATGCAATGTACGAGATTGACAATTAAGCTCATGAACTCATCCTAGAAAAAGTTCTGCATACCTCATTGCTGAATATCACTGTCATCACCTTTGAAGTATTCCTTTTGGGAAGCTATGCACCAATACCAGCACCCAGTCCACCTGTCAAAGCACTTTTGGAACTCTTTTTCTGGAATGGCCATCAGGGCTGTCGTCATGTGACCCTTGGTGTCCTGTCATCAAAATGTCTTCTTTCAATATTTCCTTATCTCTGGGTAAAGAAAAAAAATTGGGAGCCAGATAAGGTGATTAGGGAGGGTGTTCCAATGCAGTGACCTGTTTGCTGACTAAAAACTCCCTCACAGACAGTGCTGTGTGAGCTCATGCTTTGTCATAACGCAAGAAGTCCTTTAGGACCATTTGTGTACACACTTTTCTCATGCCAAAACTTTCAGTTAGGATTTTCCCTTTTTTTTTTGAGTTTGAGTCTCACTCGTTGATGCTTTTTTTTGTTTTTGTTTTTTTGATTTTGAGTTTGAGTCTCACTCAGTTGCCCAGGCTGGAATACAGTGGCACACTCACAGCCACCCCAGCATCGACCTGCTGGGCTCAGGCGATCCTTCTGCCTCAGCCTTCCAAAGTGGCAAGAACTACAGGCATGCACCACTGCACCCAGATAATTTTTGATTTATTGTAGAGACGAGATCTGGCCAAGTTGCCCAGGCTGGTCTTGAACCCACGGGCTCAGGCAATCCACTTGCCTCAGCCTCCCAAAGTGCTGGGATTGCAGGCTGAGCCACCAAACCCAGCCCCTGTTGATGCTTACTTGATCTGTGCTTCTCACAGTCAGCTGAAGATTTTGACGCATGATTCAGTGAATTTTTGCAATGTTTTCATCAGTTCTACTCATTTCTGGCCATCCTGATCTCTCTTCATCAGTGATGCTTTCTCTTCCCTCAGAAAAGCCTTCAGTCCATGCGTACGATGCTGTTTTCTCCATGGCAGTATCCCCGTAAACTTGGACTAACATGTTCCTAAATTCAAGAGAAGAGGAATACCCCACTCCAGGCCCCTCCAGCCATCAATGTCTGGAAAGGGAAGTATCTAGGTCCAGCCCCCTGCAGCCATCCTGTCCCACCTCAGGTGGGGGAAAAACATGCTTGTGAAGTTCACAGTCAAGGGGAATAGCTCACCAAAAATCTGCATCACTGGTTATTTACTTTCAAGTCTTTAAATATTTCTCTCCACTCTGGTCTCATTGCTTGTTTTGTGAAAAGCAGTCTGATGTAGTTCTTACCTTTGCTCCTTTATATAGGTAAGGTAGGGTTTTCTCTTTGTCTTCAGTTTGTGCAGTTTGAGTATCATATGCCTAGGTATGGATTTTTTGTTTTTTATCCTAAGTGGTCTTCTCTGAGCTTCTTGGATTTGTAGTTTGGTTTCTGTAATATATATTTTTGTTTGTTTTGTGTTTTCAAAGATGGAGTTTTGCTCTGTTACCCACGTCAAGATGCATGGTACATTCACAGCTCGCAGCAGCCTCAAACTCCAGGGCTCAAGCAGTCCTCCCGCCTCAGCCTCCAGAGTAGCTGGGATTACAGGCATGCACTACCTTCCCAGCTTTAAGTTTTATCTTGTAAGAGGTGGGGTCTCACTGTGTTGCCCAAGCTGGTCTCAAACTCCTGGCCTCCGCTTTAGCCTCCCAAAGCGCTGGGACTACCAGCATGTGCCATCACACCCAGCTGGGTTTCTGTAGTCGAATCTGGAAAGTTCGTAGTGGTTATTTCTTCTTGCTTTTTAGCTTTTCCTGCTCTTTTCTCTCTTCCTGTCCCTTTTGGTGTTCACACCATGTATATGCTACATGTTTCATAATTGCCCCATCATTCCTGGATATTCTGTTCTGGATTTCATCATTCTTTGCTCTTTGCATTGTAGTTTGGGAAGCTCCTGTGGACACGTCTTCAAGCTCATTGACTGTATTCAACTGTGTCCACCAAAGGTGTCCTTTGTGTCTGTTACTGTTTTGGAGTTCTGCCATTTCCTCTTGATGTTTTCTTAGAGTTTCTATTTCTGTGCTTACATTACTTATCCCTGCTTGTTGTCCACTTCTTCCATCAGAGTCCTTAGCTTGATAATCAAAGTTATTTTGAATTTCCAGTCCAATAATTCTAAGATCTTTGCTATATCTGAGCCTGGTTTTGATGCTTCCTTTGTTTCTTCAGTTGGTGTTTTTTCTTGCCTTTCAGCATGCCTGTAATTTTTTGTTGAAAGCTGGACATGATGTATCGGAGAAAAGAAACAGGTAAATAGGCCTTCCTCTGTGAGCGGAAAAAACTCAAACTTTTTTTCTGCTCTCACACCACAATAAACACAGAAGACTTCTGTGACTTTCTGAGCAACATGGTGTGTGCCTGTAATCTCACTCAGCTACTTGGGAGGCTGAGGTAGGAGGATTTCTTGAGGTCAGGAGTTTGAGACTGGCCTGCAAAACATAACAAGACCCTGTCTAAAAAAATAACAATAAGAAAGACTTCTGTGACCAAATGTGCGGGGATTTCTCCCCATCAGCAAGCAGTCAGTTCTTCATTGGCACCAGCTGCGTGTCCCCAGTCCAGTTCAGTTCTCATGTTGTCTGCCTGGAGGTAGCATCAGATCCCACAGGCTGAGGCTCAGTCCCACAAGACTGCCCCCACCTTCAGACACCAGTTGCAAGTGTGGTCTTCTGGGACTTCTGACCAACTGGCTTCCCAGGTGGGATCCCAGGAGCCACACTTTAGACTCAGTTACTTAGCTAGAGCAGCTCGCAAAACTCAGGGAAATTAGTCCCTGCTTGTTATGAAGAATAATTTAAAGGATATGAAAAAGCAGCTAGAGGAAGGGATACATAGGGCAAGGTCTTCCCGTGGATGTGGGGATGCCACTCTCCTTTTTTTTTATAGAGATGAGGTCTCACTATGTTGCCCAGGCTGGCCTCAAACTCCTGGGCTCAAGTAATCCTCTAGCTTCAGCCTCCCAAAGTGCTGGTATTACGGGTGTGAGCCACCATGCCTGGCCTTCATGGATGAGTTTTTGTTCTCGTTCCATGAGGTCAGCTGTCCAGAAGCTCTCCGGGAACCTGTCCTCATGTGGTTAACAAGAATGACATGCTAGAGGCATACATTGCTGGGCAGAAACATCCTTTTAATTAAGCCTTAGTCAGGCTGCAGTTTAGCCCATTTCCTTGTAGCCAGAAGTCAGGTATCACTGCATGCTGGCCATTTGCATCACCATTGCTCTTACAGGTAGAATTTCTGACTATGGAGTCATGGGGCTTCTGTGTAAGAACTGATTGACGGCCAGGCTCGGTGGCTCAGCCTGTCATCTCAGCACTTTGGGAGGCCGAGGTGAGTGGATTGCCTGAGTCTGCAGGTTCAAGACCAGTCTGGGCAACCTGGTGAGACCTTGTCTCTACAACAAAATAAAAAAATAGCCAGGCATGGTAGCGTGCATCTGTAGTTCCAGCTACTTGGAAGGCTGAGGTGGAAAGATGGCTGGATCCCACTGGGTTGACGCTGAGCATGCCACTGCGCTCCAGCCTGGGTGATCGAGTGAGACTACAACTCAAAAAAAAAACTGATTTACATCCCCACAGATACAATCTGTGATGCTAGAATAAAAGACTTTTGTTTAAAAATTACTAAAGATGTTTTTCAAATCCTCAGTTCCAGAGGAACAGAGACACCAACAAGTTTGAAGACCCTACAGAGAAAGCCAGTCAGCACGCAGTTTCTTCATCTCCTCATCCCATAAATTGACCCTGCACTCTTTGACCAATCAGTGATCCCTACCCCTGAGGCCACTCCAAACCCTTTAAAATCCCTGGCCCCAAATTCCTCAGGGAGGCAGATCTGAGGCTAAACCCTTTTCTCTGCTGCAATCCGTAGAACCTTGGTATATGAACTCGCTGCACCCTGGGCAAATGATCCCATTACAAGTCCTTATTCTCCATCATTGGTGCAGAGTCCTAGTCTCTTATCTTTGATAATCGGCCTCAGGAGGGAAGCTCCCTTGACTTACCAAGCAAGGAGCCAGACCTCCTGAGGGCTTTTGGGTTGTCCAGCTTCTCCTGTCAGACCTCTGGCTGTGTGTGCTGGGTCTGCAGCGCGGCCGGGCTCTGCTTCGTGATTGGCCTTGCTGACCCCTCGGCTCCTGCCTAACCTCGCAAATGTGCACACACATTTGCCATAGTGTCTGCCTGCTTCTGCAGAGGACATAAGGCTGAGGAAGTGAGTGTGAACTCTTAGCACCACTGTCTCCACTCCTTATTTAGCTACTACTGGGTGATGCCACACAGACCCTTAATCTTACTGAATTGTCAGAGGATGGTATCAGGAGATCCTTTTGTAGTTTGTCTAGTGTGATGATTGGATATTCACGCGCACCTGTGTGAGAAGTGCCACACTTAAACCTTGTTATGATGTGGGCATGTTACCCATCTGACAATTTAAAAAAAAAAAGAAGGAAAAAATTAGCCAGGCGTGGTAGCGCGCATCTGTAGTTCCAGCTACTTGGAAGGCTGAGGAGGAAAGATCGCCGGAGCCCAGCAGGTTGAGGCTGCAGTGGCCGGGAGCATGACACTACCCTCCAGCCTGGGTGACAGAGTGAGACTCCAACTCAAAAAAAAAAAGAAGGAAAGAAAACTAGCCGGGCATGGTGGCATGCGTCTGATGTTCCAGCAACACAGACGGCTGAGGGGGAAGGATGGCCTGAGCCCAGCAGGTGGAGGCTGTGGTGGCCATAAGCGTGCTACTGCACCCCAACCTGGATGACAAGAGTGAGACTCCAACTCAATAAATAGATAGATAGATAGATAGATAGATAGATAGATAGATGGAAGGAAGGAATTAAATACCTGAATAGCCGGTGATCAAAGGAAAAGGAGGCAAGACAATATATTCAGAAAGAGGAGAACAACATTCAGACAGATTGTAAGACCAGCCGCCAGGTTCTGAAGGGAATCATAGCTGGGAAACTTGATTAACATACAGGAGGTTTTTATAAGATTGAGGGTGGGCTGGGTGCGGAGGCTCAAGCCTGTCATCCCAGCACTTTGGGAGGTGAAGGTGAGAGGATTGCCTGAGCTCAGGGGTTCAAGACCAGCCTGGGCAACTTGGCGAGACCTCGTCTCTACAATAAATAAAAAAATAAGCTGGGTGTGGTACTTGGAGGGCTGAGGAAGGATCACGTGAGCCCAGCAGGTCCAGGCTGCAGTGGCCGTGAGCATGCTGCTGCACTCCAGCCTGGGTGACGGAGTGAGACTGACTCAAAAAAAAAAGATTGAGGGTGCAGGGGAGTATATAGAATCCCCAGAACAAGCCTGCAGGTAACTGGATTTACTGCTGAGAGGGCTCCAGTATGCCTTTGCATAAATGTTAAAATGCCATATGAAACTTGCCGGGAGCTGTAAGGATATGAGGTTGCCAGCGAAACTGGTTGTGGAAAGCAAGCTTTGATTTTAACGCTTCTTTTTCCGGTTGGAAAAGGAGTGCAATTCAGCCCATGTGTTGTAGGGACACACGGCACATGTGAGCACGGTGGCGCCCAAGAAGGCCATCCCTGCACTCCAAGTCGGGAGGCGACCCTGAAGGCTGTCGCGGTCACTGGAGTGCTGTGCTCCGCAGGCTGCCCATGCCAGGGGAAGCGGGCCCAGCCGTGAAAAGCAGAGGCTGCTCCTGAGGGGAAAGGGGAGCCCCTCGGGGCGGTGCAGGCGGGAAACTGCTGCCCTCCGAGGTCCGGGGCGGGTTTCCGTCCCGCCCCCAGGGTTGGTGACGCGGTGGGTGCCCTTCGAAGAGCCGAGTGCCTCCCGGCAGATGTCACTCCCCGTCCCAGCGC